GTCGCCGGTACCTTCGCCTCTCACTCATAGACGGTTGTACCGGTTGCCGCTGATTAACTAAGCAGACCCTACTTTAGGTAATTTTTTATTATCCAAGAAACGTCCCTAGCAACAAAGGGACAAAGCGAACCACACAAATGCTTAGAAATACGATCGTGGTGCGAGTTGGTTTGGTGCGAGTTGGCATTGGTGCGAGTTAGCATTGGTGCGAGTTGGTATGGTGCGAGTTGGTTTTGGTGCGAGTTGGATCGAAATCGTGGTGGGGACATCTATCAACCGAACGCGTCCCCGTACACACAGCACTGTACGCAGGGCTAGGTCTATGGTTATCTAGAGGGACATCACAGTCAGCTGGCATCTAAATAAAAATTTGTGTTTTATTAATCACCTAATTTGCATAATGATTAGTCAAGTTTCAGCTATTCCACTGATATCATCACATTACTGGTACAATGATACTTGGTACATAGATGTCATAGGACAATGCACATACCTTGGTGGATAATATTGGTGTGTTTTAATGGACGACGTCAAAAGATCGATGTCGGATAAAACTCTTTTTGTGTTCTACAATACAAACTCTAAATTTATGTTGTATATTTTTACACATCACTGAAACACATCAACTCATCAAAATTTAGAGAATACTGGTTGGCCATTATATTAAACCTCAAAACATACCAGTAATGTTATATTTACTCATTTAAACTGTTATTTTTCCAGGAAAATATATTTTTTTTTATTCAGCATTCTTTTTTCCCTGTGTTGATTCAGTTATGGGACCAAGTTAAGATCATTTCCATTTAATTTTCTGTCCACTTAAAATCTGTTAAATTGATATACGACTTTTATTATGTCTAATACCGTGAAATCTGTATTAGAAGCCACATTTTGGTGTAGTGAACTGTACCTCAGTTTTGCATTGTCCTAAACAATAACATTAGCTTATGTTCCTCGTTCTATAATTATATGTATTTAGTTGTGTGAAGTATTATTTCTGTTTTTGTTTTACATCTCATAAAATTATTATTATTATTATTAATATAAGTCACACCAGAGGTACATTACTTGGGGTTTGCAACTCGCATAGTACTGTATGGTGACATCATGTCAAGATCCCATTCAAGTCTCTTCTCGTAGATAGCGAGACTGAGGCTACGACCTTCTGACATGACGCATATCAATGTTCAAGGTTTGTAATGAAAAAAATAAACTTTTCTTGTCACCATCATAGTGAAAAATGTAATACATTGAAAATGTACAGAAAATATAGTTCTCGTAATCCGTCATATCGTGGGCAGCTATTTTGATCCACCTGGACATCCCAGTATCCTAGTTACCTCGGGCATGCGCATTTGCATTTTTTCTGAGTTGGAACGCTTATGCGAGAGCGAGATTGTGACGGGATCTTGGTATCATGTCACCGTAGTTACAAACCCCAAGTAATGTACCTCTGGTCACACCCATTCTTTTTGAATAATTGAGAACCAAACATTCACAATTTCTCATATGTGTAGATGCTTTAATAGAAGCCGCATCCTCTACTTTGCATAGTACCATTTTTATAGAAGCCGCGGTTTTTAATACAGATTTTACAATAATACTATGGTGAGATTATGTTTATTTCACGTTTTTCAGTGACTAAAATGGGGGGGGGCGACTCTATCTAAGTTATAATAAGATTGATATTTGCATTTACTGTAAAATACTTTATTTTAGCTGGAACTAATTTTCGCTGAATATGCTTTTTGGGTGTTTTGCGTGGAATTTACTTTCACTGATTTTTGACGAGTTGAATGTAAAATATACGAACAACAGTTTATTCACTGGATTTTATTTTCACTGAAATATTCTTTCAGAGAAAATAGCAATAATTAAGTATTCTACAGTACTCAAATATTTCAACATATTTTGGACAACTTCTTACAAATTGATACCTGATCAAACACACTCAGAAGAACATCAATCAGTTCTTCGCTTCAGTTATGCGAATGTAGACTATGTCAACATTTCCCCATGATGCAATGCGCGAAACACGGAGAAAACGTTCCAAAGATGCATGCGTTTTGTATTTGAGGTACTGAGAATTGAAATTTGGTTCATGTGAATCACATTGTTTTCGTGTTTATATCTCAAATATTAGACAAATATTTGTTGCCAAGCTTCATGTTTGGAAGGCTAATTAATTTTTAATATGTCTACTAGTAGCTTCCCGGTGAGTGGCTTTCGCGGTAAGTGGATTTCGTATCTAATGAGTTTCACGGGGAGTAGGGCTTTGTCTCAGTAACTGGTCCTTTCATCCTTGTTGAGAATTAATGTTTTATGTTTCTTTAATAACTGGTGCTATTCTGGGAATACCATCCTGGCAGGAGTTCCAAAATAAGACCCATGCTCTGATAATGTCTCTAGTTTCAAAGACCAATAAACATTACCATTATGATCTTATTGGTGTTGCAAAGGATAGTTGAATATTGTTTATTGAAATTAATAATCCCCATAACTGTTTTCCAATATAGATAAATTGTAGTACGTAACAAACTGTAAAACTCAGTCTCAACAATAAAATGAAGGAATGTATATATATATTTACATTATTACTAATGCATTGCAATACAACTACCGGTAATTCAAATTGAAAGAAATTGCAATATAAAATATTCCATCAGTAATACTTCCCAAAGGTGTATTTCGCAGTCAGTGTTATTTACGAAAATATTTGTTTATAATTTTATAAACTTGCTTGGCAATACCCACCCCAATTAGATATAATGTGTACATATTTTAATAAATAAAAATATTAACAAAAACAAAATATTAATTATTTCATATTTTATTATATAACCTGCACAACAGTAATCAATATTTTTCCTTGCTAGAATGATGTGTAACTTCATACGGGAATCCTGATAAAGTTCACATCTGGTGATTTAGCAATTTTAGGGATTGACAACTTTCTGTGAATTTGATTACCTAACTTTTTTAGGTTCATGTTCAAGTTGCAGAGTATGTACCTAAGTGGCCAAGGCGGTTTCAATATCGAAATCGAGAAACTCTCCGATTTTACACAATCTGGGAAGTTTAAATTACTAAATGAAGCTGAAATATCCAAGAATCAACACATACCAAAAATCTCAAAAGTGAATATTCGTGGTGTGTTTTAATTCTAATCAGAATGAAAGTAGGAATTTGTTGGTACTCTAAATAACATATTGGCGATCCACTCCGCTAGGATTACCTTAAAATCACTTTTGTGTGTGTGTGTCTGTGTGTGTGATTTCCACAGTTCCCACCGTTGCCATAGCAACAGCCAAAAAACTGATTTTCGAATAGCTTCGCGCCAAATGTATCTCCTCCTACAAATTTAGGATAAAACACTTTAGACATAGCTCATTCTACTCGGCTTGAGTGTGGGCACAAAGTTACTATTTGAATTTTTGATATCTTTTTTTATTACCAAGAAATTTGACCCCGAAAGTGCACCACCAAATGACAAAATGTGAGAGGAAATCATACCCCTGAGCCGTAATAACACTGGTCATTCAGTATACTTTTAAACGATATACATTTTTCGGTCGGCGTTTTTTCTTTTTCTTTTTTTGTCTACTTTATTTTTTTTGAGAGAGAGTTTTTTAGATTTTGTGTTGTGGGCAGTTGCAGTGAAACATATAGTCATAGTGTATGTATTCACACGTTTCTAATCGATCAGAAAGTGCGACATCAGTGAACGAAAGCCACTTAACCTCAGATTCTTTTTTTTTTTTTTGGAAAAAACTGTCCTCGTCCATGAAAAAAAATAAATAGGTTTAAAGAGAAACGCCAACAACGTAAACCTGGCGGAACACTTTTGAAAGAAATAGATTTCGGACCAGCCCATGATCACCAAGGCGGATTTCAGAAGAGATAGAGACATCCGGCAAGTGTTTCAAATGAGTTGACTTTGTTTGCAATCGTGATTATCGTTTTATAGAGACCATTTAGTCCCTGTTAAGTAAAAGGTAGCAATAATTTTGACAGTGACACAAAAACGAAGCGTCGGACAAACAGGAAATGACACAGCCCTTACACACTGCTAATTGTTTTCATTTTCGAAGGCTAAAAGTTTCTGAATTGTTTGATGATTGGTGTTGAATCTCGAATTCATACCTCTGTTCTTTTTTTTTTACCTCCATGCTTGTAGATGTGTTTCCACCAAATAAAGTTTTAATATGATGTTATAATTATGACCATCACGCCATGGATCACGCTATAAACTCGAATCCATTCTGAATTTATCTGTATGTGTGTCGATCTCGATTATTTTTGTTATCCAATTAAACGCCGCTTTTAACGCGCTTGCCCTCGTCGTAACCCGACGCGTTCGCCTATTTCAACAAAATGTCAATTTATTTCCACGCGGCTGTCATTTATTTAGTAACTGTGATTTGTCGTTTTTTTAATTATTTTATAGTGACCACTATTATAATAGTCTAATTTTTAGATTGTCAAAATATGTTCTCATTTATTTTAATTTTGAAAGTTTTACTCGGACGATCGATGAAATAAAACAGTGTAGTGACGTGCCTAGTAACCTGCTAAATAACGAGATAATTCCGACGTCAAATTCTATTTTGTTCAGCGACAGTGTACAAACGTGTGCCGGTGTCGGTGACGATCACGGTGACCAGCTACACTAGAACGGGCATATTTCGCATCTAACTCAACCCCATGCAACAAAATTTGATACTATGTGTTCATTATGGTCCATTCTTCCTCGACGAACAAGTACATAAGTGGCAATTTAGTCAAAGACTAGAAAACAGCACAAGAAATTTGCCTTATTTACACGTATCGGCAATGCAAGCTGCCCAGCAACTTCCCCTTCTGACGTCACAAGGGGAATTTCTGTATGCAAATGAGAAGCTAATGAGGAGCCTCGTTTTAAAATACACAAAAATAAAGTTTCTGTAGACTGAGTTAAAAACACATTTTTTCACTTAAAAACAATTATTTATGCTTAGAAACATAAAAATTAATAATATTTATGTATCAATGGATAATTTTAGGCGTGAAAATAGCAGCCATTTCACAGGCACTTTAATGAGCAACGTTTACATTCTGAACATTTTATAGCCTGTAGTGTATGCAATGTATGTAATGACCAACCAGATACCAGAAGAACAATTACCAAATAGTAAAATACGTACATGCACAGTTATGATGGCAGTGTTTCTTTAAAGTATTTTTTTTAACTATAAATATCACTGGAAATTTGAAATAATGTGTATTAAAATATATGACTGAATTTGAACGTGAAATTCATTTTTTCAGCAAGTTCTAAATATACAGTTAGATATTTATGTTCATTGTAATTATTTACACACAGTTTGTGGTGTCATTAAAATCTCTCTAGATTAGCTGTTTCCTGAGAAAAAATAATTGTACTACAACTGTGTGCTGCAATCATTACGTGGCTGCAATGTGTAATTAGTTTGTCTGCTGGGAATTTATTTTAATTATTTCTTCAGGCACTGGATGGTGGTTAATGCAGATAATGTATTTATAACTGCTCGTCAAGAGCCAAGGATGGTGCTTATTAAAACCGCCTTATCTGATGATGAGAAGTACCTTCAGTTGGATGCACCTGGCATGCCTACTTTGAAAATACCAATAAATATGAACGAAATTCCAAAAAATGAACAAGAAGTTATCACAACGAGGTGACAAATATTTTATTTCATTAATTGTTGTTATAATTGCTCTGCATGCACACGTACATACATATATATACATATACCAATAGTGCAGAGGTGGTTTCTATATTGAAGTCCTATCAACAGGATCTATTTTCATCTTTAAATAAACTAAATAAAGTATCCCATAATGTTGCCAGTAATAATGAAGAACCCATTTTTATTGAACATATTCTTGTCACTAGAATGACGAATTATTCAGTATTGCTGACATTAACAAACACTTTAATATTGTTCTCAACAAAGAACTGTTTTAAATTGGTGTCTTTACAGAGTTCATAGAACAGAGTGTAAAGGCAGATATTGTGGAGAAGTGGCTGAAGTATGGCTAAGTTCATTTTTAGATAAACCCAATTTTAAGCTTATTTATTTGGAGAACTTATCACCAAGGCTTTTTGCTGAAGATCCTTTATTGGGAACACTTGGTGAAGAAGGTGATATTGTAAGTTAATTTGCATTTACTTATTCACTGATTAGATTGCTTCCAATGTAATTGCAATACTTTAAAACCCTAAATATAGAATAATCCTTAAGCTATTCACCACCTCACTTTCTCTTATGTTCTTCAATATTTCTGGAAATGAACACTAATTTTAAAGCCAACAAACAACATTCTGAGACATTTTTCATTATTGTCTAATATTGTCCTAATCTTCTGAAGGAAAGTGCAGACTATATACAGGACTATTTTGTGAATTTGTGATGAAAAGATTAAAAAGCTCAGATTTTCATATGGGATTGGCTGAAATCATTATTGAAGATTTGCAGAAGTTGTAAAGAAAAATGAACACACACATTTCATATCTACATGGATTAAGATTAAATTATGATGTCCCAGTATACATTGGTACATTTTTTTATTTATGAAAAGTCATACACCTTTTGATAGCTAGCAAAGTGACCACTTTAGTCAGTAAACCATTGGTTTTAGTTAAGCTAAGCTAAGCTCCAGTATGTGATTGAATCCAAAATACCCACATTTTTTTGGTCTGGTATGTCAATATCTAAATAAATCTTGTACTTGTCACACTTAATCAAGTACTATTGGAAACCTAATTGCTTTCAATATATCGATAAATTTGATACTAAATAGTTCCAACTAGATGAACTTTATGTTATGTTTGATTAGATTTTTATGCAAATCCATGGAAGTTATTTAATTTTTATTTGGTATTTTGATATGATACCAATTCAATTGCAGAGCAATATTTGTGCCTATGATTTTGAAAAATTGATATGAATTTCATCTACAATTTCTTTGTATTTCTGTCAGCAGTCAGATTATGATTAACTGTCCATCGTCAACATCATAAATCAACATTGCTTAAAAAACGTACTTCTTCTTGAAAAATAATATTCATATTTGGTTCATATGTTGCTTGGATACCATTCAGATCTGTTCATCTCATGACAGAATCTGCTGGGTACTGTTTCTACTCACTTCCTGTTATCATCCCCTTTTTTACTGTAGATTCCGTATATGGACAGTACTCCTTATATGGTGATCAGTCAAAGCTCGCTGGATGACTTAAATGGGAAACTTGAAACTAGCGTGACTGCTAAGCATTTTCGACCAAACTTTGTCTTATCAGGAATGGAGCCATTTGAAGAGGTGATGAAATCTGTCTTTTATTAAAAAACAAATCAATGATGTTGAGATGAGTCACAACAGATGTGATAAAATCGCATACTGTGAAATACTTTATTTTAGATGGAATCAATTTTTGCTGAAAAGACGTTTTGGGTGTTTTGTATGGAATTTATTTTCACTGATTTTTGACGAGTTGAATGTAAAATATAGGAAAAAAAAGTATATTTGCTGGATATTTTTTACTGAATCATTCCTTCAGCGAAATAGCAAGAAAGTATTTCACAGTAGCTGTTTATTAGTTCATCTCAAACAAACAAACAAACAAACACTTTCGTTACTACTGCACATGTCAGACTTAGCACTCAGACAATTTTCTCTATGATATTTTTCTACATGATTTGACTTGCAATAACATCCTTTGAGCAAATAAGTCAAGTCTATTATTAACCAATCACAATACTGTGTTGTACTGACACAAAATATGTGAATTTTTGAAGGAGTGAAGAACGGTTTGCATGAGACGATAGTAGCAAGAATTTCATATGACCTGCTACAATGAACTGAAATACAGAAGTGTAATTCAAAACTGAATAATCTTTTATTGGTATTAAATCTTTGGAGTGATATTTTACACATTCTCATGTATCTTCCTATGATTTCTTTGTTAATTTTTAACCAAATATATAATTCATATTTTATAAGACATTTCACTATTATTCGTGTTTCAACCTGTAAGAGCGACTACATTGAAATTGTCATTATATGTTTATGAGAGTTATAATAATCAGTTAATTTTTTATTTACCTTACAGGACAAATTCAAATATTTGAAATTAGGAAATGCAACATTAAGATTTGTTAAATTCTGTCAAAGGTAATAAATACATTTTAAGTGAATCTTTTAGATTTTTGCCACCCACCCAACTTGCATTTCCTTGTTAGATTGTCTTATGGATTGACCATCGTGTATCCATACGTACATCGGTTGTGTATCTTGACTATATACATTGGACATAATGAGAACTTGATGTAAGTTTTTCAGATGGGATTTTTTTTAACAAAATCTGTTTCGAAGCCACATCTTAGAATGCTTTGACAAATCACATTCAAACATGTACATTATGTACATCATGTCGCACAAATGCACATATATTTGTTTGACAAATAGATTCAAGATGGCCAATTGGCAGCCATTTTAATGTTAAAATTTATTATAATCAAATATTTCTGCCATTCCATACCAAGATCTTGGTTATGCATGAACAGCTATTGTCCATTTTGGTACACACAATAAAGATTATATACTTAACATGACCAGAATTTTTATTCAGATTGGATTCAAAATGGCCAAATGTAAATGGATAATCTCAATCAAAATTTACAGCTACATGACATAAAAAAAAAGCAGAAATAGAAACCTGAATTTATTTTCTTTACTCTCATGTAATTTGTTTCATGTGCTGATTCAAAATGGCTGACTGCTTTCAGTTTTGTTAGCTCTGCTGTCATCATAGTCATCATCCATCGTCTGTCAACAATTGCATTTTTGAATTCTTCTTGAAAACTACCAGCTCAATTTGCTCTGATACTTTGGGTGGATCTTTGTCAGATTTGTTTATTTCATGAAAATAACTTTAACGAATATTGTTGTCATTTTGGTAAAAATGATAATTTGAATTCTTCTTTAACTCTACCAACCTAATTTGATATTTGAGATGTACATTATTTGTGTGAACAATTTATTCTCAACTTGGCTACCACAATGGTAGCCTGTTTAAGGTTGCTTATTTAAGATACTTGCTTGTTTAACTAACTGGGACATGACTTGTTTCTTGATTTTTGTGTTTCAGGTGTAAGATAACCAAAGTTGACCCAGAAACAGGTATTATGCACAACTCTGAGCCATTGGAAACCCTTCAAAGGTATGCAATGTAATGTAATCCGCACAACGTGATGTTTTCAAAAGTTTTCATTTTAAAACTGTCGCCATATGGTCTGAGTTTCTGGTTATACTCAGTTTCTATACTTGCAACTTTGGTTTCAAAGAAAAAACTACAGTATGTGTCCCTTTCCTCTCCCTGCCATAGTCATGTACTATATTTTGCTGTGTTGATATAAAGTGTTACATGTGGCAATGACAGGTCTATTTAACAATGAATTTGAACTAGCGTGAATGTGCTATGATGTTTACCATAATTTATCTATTCACTATGTGATTTCGTGTCAAATAAGATATTCTATACCATACTTGGTAATAATGGATGGGACTTTCTTGCAAATTTATTTCATGGGTGGGTTCTTTCCAATCTGGATGGGAATACTATGCTAGCTTCAGGTAATGTGTGCGCAAATAACTGTTGAGTTCAAACAGTAGTTTTTATATAAACAAAAATAGTATTGTACTGTTGTGAATATTGTGTGCACTGCTTATCGGGAAAAACATTCATAATATTATTACATTACACTCACTGTAACAATCAATTGGGTTGTTTTTCTCCGGTCAGATGTTACCAATAGTAGGTGCTTTTATAACAATATATAACCACAGGTGACACTAACCTATTATAACCTCATATACCCACAGTTGATCCTAGCCACTATAACCTCATATACCAATAGCTGACCCCACCCACTATAACCTTGTATTACCACAGGTGACACTCACCCACTATAATCTCATATACCCACAGCTGACCCCACCCACTATAACTTTGTATAACCACAGGTGACACTCACCCACTATAATCTCATATACCAACAGCTGACCCCACCCACTATAACCTTGTATAACCACAGGTGACACTCCCCCACTATAATCTCATATACCAACAGATGACCCCACCCACTGTAAGCTTGTATAACCACAGGTGACACCAACCCATTATAACCTCATATACCAACAGCTGACCCCACCCACTATAACCTCATATACCCACAGCTGACCCCACCCACTATAACCTCATATACCCACAGCTGACCCCACCTACTACAACCTCATCTACCAACAGCTGACCCCACCCACTACAACCTTGTATAACCACAGGTGACACTCGCCCACTATAACCTCATTTACCCCCAGCTGACCCCACCCACTATAACCTCATTTACCCCCAGCTGACCCCACCCACTATAACCTCATATACCAACAGCTGACCCCACCCACTATAACCTAATATACCAACAGCTGACCCCACCCACTATTTGCTTGTATAACCGCAGCTGACCCACCCACTATAACCTCATATACCCACAGGTGACCCCACCCACTATAACCTCATTTACCCCCAGCTGACCCCACCCACTATAACCTCATATACCAACAGCTGACCCCACCCACTATAACCTAATATACCAACAGCTGACCCCACCCACTATTTGCTTGTATAACCGCAGCTGACCCACCCACTATAACCTCATATACCCACAGGTGACCCCACCCACTATAACCTTGTATAACCACAGGTGACCCCACCCACTATAATCTCGTATACCCACAGCTGACCTCATCCACTATAACCCACTCTAACCTCAGGTGACACCAACCTGCTATGACCTCAGGTGTCAATCACCCATTTAAACCTCACATACCCACCACAACCACCCATGTTAACCTCACATACCCCCAGATGACACCCACTCATCAACCTAATATCAATCATGCAAACATGTATATATCAACCTTGAATATATATTTTTTCTTTTATAGTTATCGTAAGTGTGATGAAGATTGTCCTGAGAAATATGTTTATAAGGAACAGCCATTATTTGGAATAAATATGGCTATTGATGTACAGGGGACAGTCTGTGTTGGTGACACAGTGTATGCTTCTTATAAATGAGAGCAAGAATTCTGCGCAAACATTTTAAACAAAGATTGTCATGTTCTGTTTCCTTAAAAACAATATGACTTTCTCATAGCATAACCCTTCTTTGGTGGCCATTTTGGTTTTGAAAACTAGTTTGGGGACTCTAACAAAATAATTTAGCAAAGTATGTGAACAATGACCATCATTACTGGTATGGACCATTGTTAAAACAACAACCACAAGTCAGTTTTTATGTGAATAATGTTTCATTGAATGAAAAGCAGCTCATATTAAATAAAACACATCAAAACTTGCCTTCTATGTATTTAAAAAATATAAATAATAAAGGTGATGTAAATATGCTTGGTGTTGATTTATATTATACAGCTGCCTAAAAACAGGATTTATCAGCTAAAAGTGGAAATATAGTAACAAACTGTATATTCAATAATCACTGGAGCTCCATTATGAACAGTTGATTTACCTTCATCATTTTTTCATAAGCTTGTTATAAAATCTGCTAGAAGGAATTTTCTGTGACTGTGTGATCTGAAATGTTTGTTTTATCATCATTGGTATAAGTATTACCATTATCACAAATAAAAACTACAGCATGTCATATGACTTTTTGTGTTAATGTTAATTAACTGGCAACAGGCACAATTTTTTAAATTCAAAACAGACAATAGGCAATTTGCAATTGTGTTTTTGATTGAAACGGGTACTCTCAGTGTTCATGTTCACAGCAACCGAGAGTGGAACTGAGACGACTTTTACGAGCAGCAATTGAAACTTTCATTTATAGGAAAATGGCATGTGTGATCCTTCCACAAATTAGAGACTATGTTTTTTTTCTCACTTTCATTTTCAAGTAAAATAGCAATAGAGAGACTGGTATGATTGACCATTTTGCATCTGTGTGTCTGTGCGTCTGGACTGGACCTGGACCAATCACATTCAAACTTCACACCTACATCATACATAATATTGTACGGTACATATGCAAATCAATTTGTTTCACAGTCTGATTCAAGATGGCCAATTAGTGGTCAATTTTGTGCTAAAAATTCATCAAAATCAAGCATTTCTGGGCTGTTTACTGATGGATTTTGTTCAAACATGGTACATACGTTGGACTTTAGGGGACCTTGATGCACATCATTTTATTTTTCAGATCCTATTTAAAATGGCCGACTGGTGGCCATTTTGTTTTAATGGATGTGCCTAGAGCCATATCTCTGACATGCTTTGACTGATAATGTTCAAATTTTACATATTCGTTATACATCATGTTGAGGCCTGCATTGTTTTAATTAATGCTGTTATTTTCTAATAAGGACAAGTACTCGTTTCATGATCAGATGTCAATCAGTTTAATGTTAAAAAATCTTCATAATCAAGCATCAGCTTCTGGATCCATACTTAGCACATGTTTTGGGTCCTACTATTTAACGCCCGGACACGCGCGGAGGCGAACAGGGGGGAATACCTAACGCGCGGGGCAGCGGCAGCAATCCTTGTACTGTATAATATTTGTTTATGCTCAAAATTTGAACCGGAGTGGCGAATTCGAGCAGCTATCCACACTTTTTATGATCGACGCCCGGGCATTCCGGCGAGTCGAGTCCGCCATGTTGTTTACTAATTTTGGTTAGCGTTTAACAATAGGACAATACCATTCGATCCATGGGGGTGACAGTCCTACGAATGTGCCGACATTGTCGAAGGACAAGGACAGGAAAAGTTTGTGCAAGTGTGGCGAGACTCCCGTAGTTACGCGGAAATTATTTACCTCATGTGAAAAAAAGCATGTTTCTCATTGTTGTGTTATATTGTATCGTATCATGGATCTAGGTAGTCCTGCGTACATAGTAGGACCGCATGTTTTTGTTCCAAATATATTGCTATGAACAAAACTATACATCTTAAATTTGACTAACGAGGACTTTGTCATGCATGGCTTGTATTAGACTGTGTGATCAATAAATTTTTACAGATTTAGTTTTCTATAAATTACCCTTAAAATATATTTAATAAATATTGTTTTGGACCAAGTCTGAAATCGAGAACTATTAATATGGGTTTCAAGCATATTGGGTAATAGGTGCATGTCATATTTTTTTAAGACGCTAAACTAGTCAACTAGTGTCCATTATGATTTTTTATTCATGTCCATACCGATTCCTCACTAATATATTGCCTGATTCAGATGATAGTTTGAATACAAATACTATACTCATAAGTTATACAGTTTTGTTGTGACTTAAACAGATTTGATGAATTGACTGCCATTTTGTTTAAAATCCTGAAATCACAGTTTTTTAACCATGTTCGTAACTGTTTCCTGCAGATGAACAGGGTTGACAATCATTTGGTTTTTGTTATGGTACCCATGCATACTAGTCTCACCACAAATTGTTAATCTATGAACTTCCAGTCTCACTGCATTGAAATTGACATACAAATGACTCATTGAGTCCCCTGTGGGAGACGTGTATATCTACGTGTTATTTGTACTGAACACTGAGATTGACTACAGGTAAAAGCAACACAGGGAATGTGCATTGTCATTACTTGTTTTAATTTTATTTTATGCAATCTAAAAATCTATAAACACAGGGTTAAATGTTCAGTAAATCTTAATGCACCTATAACTTAATTGAATTGTCAATAAGATTCTGCTTTCACAATACGGATTCCTGTGTCGTGTAAATATCACCATCAGCATAGTCTGGCCATAAAGTAAGTTATTGTGTACATTTCTTGCGTTACATAGCTATATTCACAGGGAAATTCATAGCAAACTGGATTGCTGACAGTATGGACTCTGCAACAAAATAATTTTGGAAGATTTTGCATTGAAGAGACAAACGCCGACAGTGCACTGAAAACAGCAGTACACCATTCTACTGAGCATTTTGGTATAGTTCCCTGTTAAAGTATTATGGTAAACTCTGATGTTTAGTTCAAACCTTCAAACTACATGTATCACAAAACATTACTCATTATGCACTTCAAAATAGGGGCCACTGTAAAGATAAAATTGATGTATTTGAAAGATTTTTTTAACCACGACTTCGAAAACATGGTTTAAATTAATATTTCTGAAATATGTTTTTGTGGATAGTATTGGTGGGTGGGGGACATTTCTCACCTTCATTAATCACATTTGAAATGTATTTTAAATACATTTGTAGTTTTCTATATATCTAAAATTTGTTTTATACATGTTTGAATTACGTTGTGGGTTTATTAATTTGGTAAGATCTATTAAAAGTTCTATGATTTGTGTTGCCATTTTTCTTTGAATACCTATAAAATTCCTTTGCACATTTGTGTATAATTTGCTATGGCAAGACACTATTCCTAATCAAACCTTGAACCATGTGACTTTCAGATATATTTTTACTAGAAGTCAATTCACCAGTCCAGCCAACTATGGCTCCCTAAGTTGCTTATATTTAATCAGATACTACGGCTGATCTGCACTGGCTGGGAAGATGAATTCTGATTGGCTAAAAAAACAAAAAACTTGTGGCGTTGAATGCACGTTCATTGTCAGTATTGTTATGCAAATTCAAACTAGCTAATCATTTACAACCTTCCGAGCCAGTGCAGATTAGCCCAGATACTATTTCGTCATCATACTTTGTTACCTTACCTGTTTATACCTCATGAGGGCGGTTTTTGATGGCAAGATGGCCCAAGCGGAAGTCCTTCGCAGGTTTATGGTTTCTCATATTTAAATCATAACTCTGAAGATAATCATTTTTTTTTCATTTTTTTTTCAAATTTATAATCAATATACATAACTTGATAAATACAAACACAAAAATAGGCTCTATTTAGTTCCCCTTTAAGATCAGAGCCAACTATGTGCAAACAAAAAGGCAATTTAGGCTTTTTAATACTTTTTTTTTTTTATGAATGATAAAAATCATGATTTCACAAAGTTCGAAGACACACTGAAGGAAAAGATTGGTCTTAAAATAATTGTGTGATGAATAATATTAAAAACAATTAAATAAATATTGTAGGCCTGAATATATCTTGACTATTGCATAAATTAAATGAACAATGGAAAATGACATTGCGTATAATCACATAAATATACACATAAAATAGTGCAAATGTGCATTGAAGAAATCTTGTGCAAGTTTTCTTTTTTTTTTGACATGCGCCCTCTATTGACAATTTGTGGTAAATGTAACATAATACTAGTAGTTGTTTTCGAAACAGATAATTTGATGTACGGTCTTACATATTTTTTTTTACTTGCGAACATTCCAATCAATTTGAAGTTTAATAAGTTTGTTCTCTCTGGCAAATAGTAACAATCGTTATTTTACAAGTACCAGTGGCATATCCTCGAGTAATATGCTACATACCCATATATACACATTGGCTGCTAATTTTAAATGGCAGTTTATGTGGTTAACGTAAATACCTGTATTTTTTTCCTCGAAAACATGTCAATGAAAATGATACAGTTTTTGTATAAACTTCAAATTGATCTCCATTATTAAATAACTTTAGTTTAGCAACATAACATACATAAATGTCAGTCTGTTGTCTTTGAAAAATGAACTACAGTACCTGACTTAATAGATATCATCATGGATATGTTTGATTATACTGTATATGAACCACATTAGGGTCATACAACATTTTAAGAAAGTCAAAGCTAATATGGAAAACATGTTTATACAAAGTAAAATACAATTAAATCGAGTACAAATGAGCACTAAATTGTTGAAGGAAATTAACAGTCTGACTGATAGACTACATGACATATTATACACCATATTACAAAACAAACAAAAGATAATGTCGATGTTTGAGGCACGTCATTTAAAACATAGAACGGAGAAAAATAAAACAGAAAAGTATGGAACCGTATGGAAAGTGGCATGAATATAGTTGCTAAAATAATTGCATCTACCTGTAGCAACCCGTATAATGAAACTCTCGACATATCATTGAAAGATTTAATGTCTATTATAAGGGAAACTTCAAATATCTTTTAGGGATAAAGAGGGCAAAGAGGCTGACTTGTGGTGCTGTGAGCATGATAAAGAATTGTGTCCCATCTGTACTTGATTATGAATCGTCAGATTTTTGAGCAATAGTGTTGGGAGGGTGTGTGAGATGAGGGGGACATGTGCGATGAGGAGGATGTGTGTGATAAAGATTGTGAGGTGGATGAGAATGAGGAGCAGGTAGGCGAAACTAACGACAAAGTACATGGTGAGCAGGTGAGAAAGCAAGAGGTTGGTGATAAGGGTGAATGAGGTTACGATTGTGGATTAGTGGGGAAGCTTTTGTTCGTACTACTTTTACACACATTTTATTTTATTATAATTTAATATTAAAACTGTTCTGTTGAATATAAAACTGTTGCTACAGTGCTTTGACTGTAGGCGAGAACCTCTGCATAGTTATGCCAACAGTGGTTGCCTTAACAAAGGCCGAGACTTGTCACTTTGAATGACATCATGGTCACAAATCGACTGCATGGTTTCATTGGATAGGTCTGAATATAAGTAATGTTTTTAACATGTCATTCAATATAAATACAACTGCTGAATGCGTAATAGGAATAGGTGTTTGTTGAGACAACACAGTCAACTAGACTGTGCATAATTTCTCGGGTTCTTTTTCTGTGGGCCCTCACCCCTATGTCTGCACACATCACTGTAACCCCCCTCCCCCCTCAACACTTGCACGAAAATCAGTGTCCCATGCCCAATCAACACCGACCTACCTCTGGTACTTTCTGTCCAGTCTCTTAACATAGAGAAACCAACGACGATCGACATTCCAAACAAATTATTCCCGGGACATGGTCTATAGGCATTCCAAACAAACCAAATCATTATCATCGAAAGACTGGATAATTACAAACATACGAAATTAATAAATACACGAAAAGGAGTAATGTTGTGTTTTATGTTAGATTTAGGAATATTTTCTGTCACTCTGTCCATGCATGAAGCTCTTTATTTAATTCCATGACTTTCCATGTTTTCTCCTTTCGGAAAAACAACAACAATTATACAAATCGTGAACACATCGTAAAAAGTCAACAATCAGAAAAGGAAATTCAGAAATTTCACTGATGTACTTGTAATAACACAATGATGCCTTACTTGTACCCACAGAATATTAAAATATTCCATCACAGTCAAATTATAAATAGTTAAAAACAATAAGTATTTGATGTTTAGACGTCAATTCAACGTGTATGGAAACCATAATGTTCATTGCTGAGGTATTTAACCACCGCCTCCTAGAGGCGAAATGACGCCATGCAAAGAGGTCGTTCAAGTTTGTCGTCTACTTCATGGCCCGTTTTATACCCGATATTCCGCAGCACATAGTTGTTTCTATCGCCAGAATTTATTCTCAGATCTCGAATTTCATGTACGGAGGAACACACGTCAGACCTCTGCTTTTTAAAACTGTGTTTCCTATAACACTATTATTTTAGTCTACTTAAGTACATTTGTTTGCGTTGAAATCCACTAGTCAGGCTTGGGAGACTACACAGATATACTAGTATCACTATTGTGTTTTGTCCGGCTTTGCACCGCACGACTGCATGTCAGAACTGTAAAAGTCATAAAGGTCACGGTCAGTAGCAGTGCAACATGTATAAGGTAGGACAGTTCGGGAATATTATTATGTGTTTTATAAAATAGATCGAAAGTGCCGACCACTGCATTTCAATTATTCATTTGACAACATGTTTTAGTGGTCAGGCATTACGTGAGATATGAATAAGTTTTTCACAATAACCCCGATATGACGGTCTTTTAAAATTCATGATCGACTGTGTGCGACCCCGAAATGACTGCAATCACTCTGCTCAGCTGACAACGATCTTATTGACAACTATTTGACCACCGTGACTAATGGCTTATCAGACTGACATGATCAGATCATGGTCGTTCATAGTCATGTAAAAAAGCGAACATGAAATGTGACTTAATTGTGTTGAGCACGAAATTTAGTTGCACGCAATCAAGTAAAGAAGCGACCTTAAAATGTACTAATTGCGACGAGTGAACTACCATGCCGGCTGAACATTGTATAGCCTAATTTGCATTTTAAACAAGAAAATAAGTTTTGGGCTTTTATATATAACTGTAGCATGAGCTATATTGGTCAGGAACTTATAGTTAAATATCATTTTGAGCTGCTTTTTAAATAATATTCTCCTTCCGTTATTTACAATAGAATAGAACCTGGGTTTCAGAAAATTGTCTTTTAAATGAAAATCAAGCTGGGTTCGACCGCATTAGCCATTATTTGCTTTTGAAAAACGGTTTCCATGGTATTTCTTTAAAAACTGTTCAATGTATGTACAGTAAGTCTCGCGCACATAAGCCAAATGGTATATCAGATGTGTTTGAATGCTTATGCGGGGTTCAGCAAGGTTTATTAATGACGCGACCTTGGCGAGCATCTACAGCATCGATTCTCTGATGTATATGTTGGTTTGCTGAAAATATTATACCTTCTACTTGCGGATGATTTGATTTTGTTTAGCCTCGTCGTGGTCATGGTCTTCAGGAAAGCTGGTACTTTGAGACATGACCTGAGACTTTAATACAAAGTACTATAGTGGGGAAATATGTCCGGCTGTGTCGTCTTTTACTTACTTTACGTCTTTTGGTTTATGGCTCAGAGAAAACCTTGCTGAACAAGCAAGCAAAGCAATGTTTGCTTTAAAACGGATTTTATCTAAATATAGTTCAATTGTCGTACAAGTTTATATGAAAATCATTGATTGTAAGATATTACCATTATCAATGTATGGGAGTGAAGTTCGGGGGTTTGATGACTGGGAGAATGTCGAAAAGGCTCATCGAAAGTTTTGCAAATATGTTTTGAATTAGTTTTCCAATACAACAAACCCTGTTATTTATGGAGAATTGGGCCGGCAGGCTACCTTAATATATTCAAGGTACTCGCGTATTATTAAGTTTTGGTTAAGAATTTATAATGGATACAAATATTTGTGTATACCAGTGATAACCAGTATCAATATTACAAAGCAGAAAAGAATGTTAAATGCTGGTCCCTACAAATAAAAAAGCTATTGTTCTCTCGTGGCTTTAGGTCTATTCGGTTTGTTTGGTTAAATCAGAGAGTTGACGATGTTAATTACTTTTTAGCACTTTTCAAACATATGTTTCACGATATATTTATACAATTATGGGCAGATTTTCAAAATAACCCAAAGCTTGACAAGTACCAAGCTATTGAGATTATTTTTGTTATGAAAAATATTTATCTGTGATTAATAACAATAAACTGAGTTCTATTCTACGCCATTTGAGATTATCGTCAATTAACCTTCGCATTGAATCGGATCGAACATTCCAAATGAGACTATGCAAATTATGGGCGTGGTCGAGAATGAATTTCAATGTTTGCCTTGTATGTCCACGATATAATAATTTTAAAGTGAAACATCTATGTTTATCTTTCTATAGGGATCATTCATATCATACATTTATACACCTTATGCAAACTGACGATTCTACATTTTTGTCACAATTCTCTACTCTTGTTTTGTGTGTTTTAGGCATAGAAAATCTCTAATTGACAAGATATAAACCAACAAATTATTCTGGATAATTTGACTTTACGTCTTTACAGCTTATTTACCTCTTTATGTAAAGTTAACGCAAGCTAAACACTCTGCACAATAACTTTCCTGTCATCACACGTAATGTTGATGTATCAGCGAATATGAAATGTTGCCGCCCTGTTATTTCAATTCGGGTCGGACCTCCCGCTATTGCGATTTACAGACTCTGACCAAAAATATGGAAATGGTGATTGTCTTGAGATGTTGTAGCGTCTTTTAACAAGATTATGCACCACTGTTTACCTTCAACAAATATTCAAGAAAATAATTAAAAAAATTGTATAATACTCAAAATTCAGTGAAAAAAATGGTAATATTCAATATTGACATAATTGGTCATACTATGCAAAACCCATTCACAATTTAAACACATTTGGGACAAGGAGAGGTCGGCATTGACATCCACAAAGTTATATTCAGTGAAAAAAGTGCGTAATTAAGACACAAAATAAATAGTATACTTTAACAGTTTTAACAATCTTTTTTTAAACAGAAGATGATAATCAGTGGATTACTTATTCTGCTCCTCTTGGTGCTCACATCAGCCGATGACGTAACACAGAAACCCAATTTCGTCATTATTATGGTAGATGACCTTGGTATTGGTGACATTGGTTGTTTTGGCAATGACACTATACGTACACCAAATATTGATAGATTGGCGGCAGAGGGCGTTAAGTTGACACATAACATGGTACCTACACCTACCTGTACACCAAGTCGTGCTGCGTTTCTGACAGGACGTTATCCCATACGCATGGGTAAGAATGCTACCAATATTTGAGTGATCTAACATCAATTTTATTTACACACAAGTCAATCAAGTCGAAGTATATTATGTACGTTTTCTTCACGCAGAAACACAATAACAATTCCTATTTTACAGGAATGGCATCAAAGCTACGGAATACTATGTTTGCATTTAACAGCGGCATTGGTGGCATGCCATCCAGCGAAATAACCTTTGCTGAAATGGTGAAATCCACTGGATATGCCACTGCTGCCCTTGGTAAGCATGCCATGCCTAATAATTATTGGATGTGGTAGTAAAAAAACAAGACTCATCCCTAGGATGCTGCTATGATTTCAGTTTGACTGTTTGTGTTATTCACATCCTGGTACCACTCGTTATTATACATGACTGGTGAATTATATACTGAGGGCGCAATTTTATGTCGGGGGGGGGGGGGCACAGGATTTTTATTGAAAATCGACACATTTCGTCGAAATTTAAGACTATTTTGGACATAATTTGATCACATATTAAGATAAATAAAGCGCAATTTGTTCAAGTCACTGTAAATATGAAATAGTTGAAGTTTAGCAGAATCATTAAAACCTATTTTAATAATTGATTATTGATTACGGTATGGTATCTATTAATGGTTCTATACTGATACTCACATCATTGTCAGGGACTAAGTATATAATTAAAATCTGGCAAAGGGTTTATTCGTACAAATGTATTCGTACAAGTTCTCAGTTACCAAAAATGTCACCACAATAATATATTTTTGTTTACAGGGAAATGGCATCTGGGATTACACAGCTTTAGTTTTGGTCGTAACTTTGAATTCCATCCACTGAATCAAGGGTTTGACTTTTTCTATGGTATATCACTGACACATTTAAATGAATGCGCAGACATACCGAATGGCCGGTTAAGCATATTAAAAATGTGGAATAATTTCTATACTATTATAACAACCATGGGTATTACATTGTACACAATGGTTGGTTTGTTGAGATATTTCAGAGTGATTGGACCTACATGTTTCAAAATTTTACTTTTACTCACGACCATTATTGTCATCCTGACGTACAATTTCCCTCACTATAACTACCGATTTCTTTGCGTCCTACTCAAAAACTATGAGACTGTTGAACAGCCTTTCAGATTACAAAACATGACTCTCCGCCTGACAAAACATGCTACATCATTCATTGAAGAAAATAAGGAAGGTCCATTTCTGTTGTACTTATCATTTTTGAAAGTACATACTGCAATGTTTACATCCAAGAACTTTACTGGAGTAAGTAAACACGGACAGTATGGAGACAATGTAGAAGAAATGGACTGGAGTGTTGGTAGAGTACTTGCAAAGTTAGATCAACTCGAACTGACGAAAAATACATTCGTATATTTCATGTCCGATCACGGCGGTCATATTGAGGAAATATCCATCGAACCAGGGCGAGAAGGTGAACGAGAAGGAGGATGGAATGGCATATATAAAGGTAAACAAATGTTTGCACGTACATGTTGTGATGTTTATCTTTTTTGTGGCATTTAATTAATATTTTAAGGAACACATACTTTCAAACAAGGGAAATCAGTCAGAAGGCGCATGAGTAAATTATTTATTTGAGAGGAACAATAGTCCTTTGCTATAGTAGGTTAACTTCCGTAGGGAATGTGTGTATACATTTTATAGTAATATGTTTGAAGAAGGTTACGTTTAAGATGAGTTTAACCGAGTGTCTGAAACGTTTACGGTTTTCATGTCTCACCAAATCTTGTGCCTACAAACAAGCTGAATAGAGTAGTTAAAATTGAAGCATTGTTTTTGAAATGTGATCATCATCAACTGATTTTAAATTACAGGAGGTAAATCTCAAGTGTGGGAGGGCGGTGTTCGTGTACCAGCCATAGCACGATATCCACCATTGATACCAAAAGGGTCTGAGATATCTGTTCCAACTAGTAGTATGGACGTAACACCGACATTAGCATCGTTGGCAGGAGTGAAAATACCACGTGATGTAACAATAGATGGAGTTGATATCACAAAACTGTTAGCGGGCAAAGACAAAGCGCCACCACATGAGTTTCTTTTCATTTATTGTGGAGCATGGATACATGGTGTTACATATCGTCCCAAAACAGGTAATATTGTATATTCGTCTTTTTATTAGAATAAATATGTTAATTTCGTTCAATATTGTGCAAGAATGATTTTATATTATATCCAAAATTTATCCTTTCTAGGTAATATTACATACAAAGTGGTTTATACATCACCAAAATGGTTACCTGGCACGGAAGGTTGCATCGACACATTGCTATGTCATTGCTATGGTGAATATGTAGACCATCACGACCCACCACTGGTATACGACCTGACACATGATCCAAGTGAACGTCGCCCTCTAGATCCCAGGCATAATGATGTGAAAGAAATCACATCAAAAGCACGTGATGCAGTCGCGATGCATGAAGGGACAGTTGTACCTGTAACAGACCAGTTTAAAATCTTCAGAATAGCCCCTCTGTATCCATGGTTACAACCATGTTGTAACTTTCCACTATGTTCGTGTATAGAAGAGGATTACGAAAACTGGGATGTAGTAGATTTTTGACTCCATTGTATCCCCATTGTATTCAATCATCTTATCATGTATTTATTATGTGGGTTGAATGGGCTCTTTCAAATAATTTACATCACTAACTTTATTGACATTAAACCATTAATCACTAATAAGTCACAAATTTGTAGTAGGTTTTAGAACGAGGTTCCACAGTATCCCCAGCCCCATTATTCAAATGTAGTATACGTAAGTAACTATCTTATGTAAATGAGTATAGTTCTATCAAAGTAAGTCAATCCTTAATTGTTTTTACTTCTGTATCGACTAATCATGCGTTCAATTGACATCAATATGAGGGCACACATTGTCGATACATAATTGTGTGACCAGCAAAAGGATCACATAAATGTTTATAATTATAAATTTGGCGGTAGTCATCGCGCCACGCATGCGCGAGATATATTGAATCATATAAACAAACTTTGAATGGCGACTGTTGCGCAGATCAACGAGTACAAACTGAGAAGTTACCAAGCTTTAATTAAGTATTTACTTAGATGAATGGAGGTATCGAAGGAGTCGCCGGTGGCAATTAATGCAAGTCGCGCACAGGTGAAACCTCATATTTGGGTCTTCCATTGGAAGAGCGCTTTGGATTGTGGGAAAATCAAAGTTTATGAACACAAATTTCACACATGCGCAGCGCAACGACCACCGTCCTTTAAGACTAATTGTATGAGAATGTATTATCAATCAAGTACCCGTGAACTGGTGGCACTGCACGTGAGTCCATGCCACATGCGTGAAATTATTGTAACACATTACCGTTCTGCGCATGCGGGCACGCAGTTATCAACGCCTTACCGTCTCACCCATGTATTGGGCCATTCCAGTTTATATCTACACCCCCCTGTTGACGAGGTCGGATTTCCAGCACTGTATGATGGGGGAAAATATCCCGGAATTCCAACTGTATATGGAGAAACAGAATCTGGAAATCCAGACGAGTATGGAAAAAAAATTCCTGGAAATCCAGGCAGTTGTGGCCATAGGGAGCCCAGGAACTATAATCAACTGTAATACGGAGTCTCTATGAGTGTAAGAAATAGACTCATACCGGTTGATGACGTTGGATTTCCAACAGTATGACTAAAAAAACTTGGAATTCTGACTGTATATGGTAAAAAAATTGGGCCAGTATGAAATAATTACTGAAATTAGATAAGGATGGTGGCACGAATGAGCTCATCAACACCGTGAATCAGGACTAGTTTGGATTTCCATTATCAAATATAAAATTTTTAACTTGGTAAATTAGCGTATGATGAGAGTTATATTTGGAAATCCTACTCTGTATGGTGACACAAAAGAACTCATCAACACCATAAGTAGGAACTATAGTTTTGGATTTCCATCACTGTATGGTGAATGGTGATTTGGAAATAAAACTTTGTATGACTTATACACCCATGGAAATTATACCCTGTATGAAGTAAACACACAAGCTCATCAACAGGGGGGTGCAGATATAAACTGGAATGGCCCATTCTGCTAGGTATAAAAATGCGAAATACATTAAATAATAAATATAAAGTTTCATTGGAGTCAAATGTCATCTGCTTGTTATTCAAATAAGGTCATTTCTGATTGGCTTAATCAATAGAAATATATATTTGTTACTCGATAGTAGTTACGCGTCGGTACTGGTGAGGGCGCATGCAATGTTTGTCAGTTTACATTATTTTGATTTTTTGTTCATTCAAGATATGTTTTCTCTATTTTAATATTTTTTCAAAAAAAGACTTGTAAGAAGCTTTCAGGGTGAACTTTATTCTTTTTGAGAATCTTGTAGACCTTGTTCACACAAACGTCCAATCGACACACTAAAGGTTTGGTAGTAACCTGGCATGCGACCTGGGAGGTTTTTCTAGACGCTAGGTCATAGACGTCAGCTGACTGTGGAAGTAACACAAAGTGTTGACGTATAAAGTAAGTATGACTCTATGTTTTTGTTTACCTAAATCTAGACAGCACAATGTATACCGCCTATTACAGCTATTAGAATATGAGTGACACACATCTCTCCCATAGTGTGCCCAGGCCCAATGCATACTGTATTTGACGGTCACTCGACAGATGACCTAGTACAGCAATCGTCCATGTATACCTCCCAAACGTGAATGGACATATAAATAGTCGTTTCTAGGCGTACCATATGTAATAGTATCCTCAAAGTCTCTCTGTTGTGAACATCACTCTGCTATTAAATGCGACCCGATTCCAGGCAAGATAAAATGAGTATTAGCCAACAACAACACGACAAATTGTAATGATATATGTATACTACTGAAAGTTATATCCAGGGAAAAGCAAATTGTAATGGATGAGTACTGCCATTCAACACCATGAATAGAAATAACAGGCATGACTGCAAGCTGGATCAAGTCTTTGTAATGTGCAACCTTTTGGCATAACATGATATACAGGGCCACAATATCTTTGCCGCATTTTCAGGACGATGATGGTACCAGGTCACCTGATGACCCCCCCCCCCCCCGGGCGATGTGATGTGGCGCTATAATCATAGTAACTTGTGATACAAGTGGGAGGGTTCAAACTGAAATAGGCTGGTAATTTATCCCAGGGTCTGTGTATGAACTGCATGACTGCATTCCAGTAACTGCAAAATTACCCCAAATTACAATATCGTAAACGTGTTGGCAGTTACAGTACAGCATGCATAAGATATGAGCCATGATTCAAGGATATTATCATGTGGAGAGATATTGTTTCTTATTGGTTTGTAGAAAAACAAAACAATGCATGTTTCTGTAATTGCATGGCCGCTGTGGGACAGTAATCTCCAATTGAGTTTCATGTTACGCTACTACACATAAAACAAATAGTTCGACAACAAATATACTCATACACTCTTAAAAGTTAAACCATTTGAATTCATAGAAACACTTTCAAAGGTTAATCACTGATTGCAACCCTAAACTAGATTTGAGTATCTGCTAATAGCATTATGAACAAATGTAATGACATATACCCATCCCCCTTGTTGAAAGTGGAAGCTGTAATTCTGTTTTTAAATATACACATTTTGTAATTTTTTTTTTCGTTTTAATTATCTCAATGTACAATTATATAATCTGTTTTCACAAAAATATGGTAGAGTTTATTTCTAGTCATACTCTGGTTATGTCTATCTTTGACCATACAATCAGCAGCATTATAGTCAAGAGATGGCATCGTTGTTTTCATTTTACGGCCGAATAAAAGTTCGGCGGGACTTTTGCCGGTTGATGGATATGGAGTTGCACGATAATTCATTAAAAATTTCTAGCTTCCAGTTTTTTCGTTCAATTAAGGAGCACCTGACTACCTTTCCTAAATTTTTCATGAAATTCTCTGCTAGTCCGTTCGCACGGGCAAATTCTGGTGTTAATTTCTGGTGATGGAAACCTGAATCTTTCGAATAAAATTGAAATTCATTCGAATTATATGGGGGACCGTTGTCACTTTTCAGATTTGATGGATATCCAAATGAAGTGAATATACGATCAAGTTTGGGTATCACAGTACTAGAGCTAGTTGAGTTTGTTATTTCTATTTCCGGGAACCTTGAATATTCGTCAGTTATTCAATGGCAAAGAACGAACCCGACTCAAGCGAATTGGTGGCAAAAGAAAATAAAAAGTTAGTTTTATTCTGTTGAATCTAAAATTACATTTCTGGCATACAGCGAAATACAGCATTAAAAGGCAAAAACAGAACTGTGACAAGACGATAAATAGCACTCAAAAACAAGAACGAAACAAAACAAAGCATGATACTAATACAAAATGATAGAAAAGCGGGTGGGTGGGTGGGTGGGTGAAAATAACCCGAACAGAAATGACTGGGCACGAACAGCGTGCGATGTAAACAGTGCATGTAAACAGAACGAAGCGAATTGGCTACAAGAATCATGCGCAGTGGAGAAATGAAACAAACAACCGAAGCTTATGCAAATGAAAAGTATGCAAATGAATAATTAACAATTTTGAACTGCCTACAAAATACAACAATTATTCAATGGCAAAGAACGAACCCGACTCAAGTGAATTGGCGGCAAAAGAAAATAAAAAGTTAGTTTTATTCTGTTGAATCTAAAATTACATTTCTGGCATACAGCGAAATACAGCATTAAAAGGCCAAAAATGAAAGCCGCCAAAAGCAAATGTTCAAAGTGTCAGA